GGCTGTCTCTACCCATCCCCTCCCTTTCCCTCGGCCTTAGTGCAACAATAGGAACTTGTTTCCGGGATCTCTGCGTCAGACTCCATGGTCTGAATGACCTACCAGTACAAAAGCCAAGACCCCCTAATAAGAAAAAAAAAGGGTTGCGGTTGCTTCCTTCACTGTGATTATGTCACTTTGCCAAAACCCTGCAACTAGTAAAGAAAAAAAAAGATATATCTTTTAAACACCTTTACATGTCATATAATTAATTTATTCTGAAGTATTTTATTAGGATTTTACCCAATATTCAAGAACATCATTGCAAAGCAGAGAGAAAATGGGTTTAACATTTTTTAATTGATAAAGCATGAAATTTGTGAAAAGTTTCTAAAGTAAAATTGACTCCTTTTCCTTTAACTAAACTCTTTGTAGAATTGCCTTTTGCTGGATTTAAAGCTGCAAGTCTTTAAGGGTAACAGCTTCCCCAAATTTGTATTTGCGTACATGAATTATTTTACCATAGATTCCCAATAGAATTTTGATCTGGAGTCTGATCTGCCTTTTCTTACACATGAAACCAACCAAGACTGTAGCGCTGGCTGTACTGTATGTTTAAAGCCATTGATGCTATTGTCGAGTTCTTTTGCAGCCTCAAACAGTGACAGTTTTTTGGCTCCATCTTCTCATCAACTCCGTCAAGCTTTTCTGTCGTCTCAGAAGAAAAGCATTGTCACAGCATGACGTCGCCACCGCCATGTTTCATGGTAGGGAGGGAGAGTGTCTTCAGGGTGATATACAGTTCTAGTTTTCCACCACACATACTGCTTGTGGTATCATCTGAGCAGAGCATTCTAGTCCCCTTGAAGCAGCCTGCAAATATGACTTCTTATTAATTTTTCATGAATGTTGCCACTTTACATAAGGCATACATTTGTGCACAGCACAACTTTATAGTTTGTTTTATTGACAGATCTCCCCCAGCACAAAGTGGTGCGGCTTTGCAGCTCTTCACTTACCACTGTCCTTTTGGTGGATTCTCTAATTAATGCTCCTGGATCAGTTTAGATGGATGCATACTCTTTTATAAGGTAGCAAACATATGCATCAGTGTTCTGAGATTTAATTAATTTCAATTTTCGCAGACCAGCTTTTTATTTGTAAAAGAAAATAAAGCATAGTTTTTATTCATTTGGAACTATGTGTTGGTATTTCATAAGAAATCAGTATAATGCACTGCAGATTACAGTTGGATCATGTTAGTGTGGAAAAATGCAATGCGTGTAAATTTATTTTAAGGTGCCTTACATCAGAGTTGCATTGGTCCAGATCTTCACATTTGCTTTTGCTACACCAGTATTTGTGGTGTTTAAGTTTCTTTCAGTCCAGAGAGTTGTGTTGGCCAAACGGTTGCATAATCTCCTTTCTGCCTGGGAATTAACATGAGAAAGAAAATAGCTCTGCTTCACTGATTTAATCTTTTAAACACTTAAACAACTCAGTCTTTCTAGAAAATTAATGGCCTGTTGTTCTTTTTTCTTCTTAGTGAAAAAGAGATAACTTCTATCAAATGGTTGGGCAAAGGAAAAAAATGCCAATCCCTAGATAGATAAAGGGTGTGTCCCTTAATTTGTTTTTAAGCTCAAAACCTACTTTAAAGAACTTTAAGAGCTGGCAAAAACACTGACTGTTGGACACATCATCTGTTGTATATACTGCTGGCAATGAAACTTCCTCTAAACACATGACTGTTTACAGCAGCAGTTTCATATCCAGGATTTCTTAAGGTCAACATTTCTTCTGGCACACTGAGCCCCAACTGCACTTTATTCCCCTTTAATTTAACAGCTCCGGCAGCTTTTCTAGTTAAATCGACTGTTCATTATTGAGACCCGTTTTACGAAGGGGCTGTGAGGTGCAGTTTAATGAATCTCTGGCACAAAGCTCCCTTTCAGTGCTGCCCGAAGAATAGAGGGCTATTTAGACCCCGCAAGGGCTTTATGTCAAAGGCGGCCCATAATAGCTGTCAGACCAGGGCAGAAATTCCCACTGGCCTGGGAATGCACTAGAAATCAACTTTTGCCATGAGTAGATTAAGACAACAAGCAAGCAGTTGGGAGGATTCTCCAACATGTTGGCATCTGGTTGAGGACAAAGATTTTCTCACAGAAGAGCAACAACTTCTTGAAACTGTAGTTTTCTACTTAGGTAATAAAGCTACAAAATATCTACTTTGGGGAAAAAAGTTGTGGTTATTGTATTTTAGATTTAAAGCCTGGCAAAGTTTTTCTTAAAAGTACATGGCAAATTTAATCAATATTTTACAGTTTCCTTGGGTGAAAATAACATTTCCCCTAGATGCTACCTTAAAAATTATGCAGTGCTGTTATGCTTATGCTCTTTCATTCTTAGTGGTTTCCTTTAGATAAACCAATTACATCAGATAAAGATAACCTCAGTAAATTCAAAAGCAGTTTTAAAAACTTTAATAATTATGTGAAAAATTGTATCCAAGCCAACTTGTTCCCAAATATACACTATATTGCCAAAAGTATTTGCTCACCTGCCTTGACTCACATATGAGCTTAAGTGACATCCCGTTCCTAATCCATAGGGTTCAATATGACGTCGGTCCACCCTTTGCAGCTAGAACAGCTTCAACTCTTCTGGGAAGGCTGTCCACAAGGTTTAGGAGTGTGTTTATGGGAATTTTTGACCATTCTTCCAGAAGCGCATTTGTGAGGTTGCACACTGATGTTGGACGAGAAGGCCTGGCTCTCAGTCTCCGCTCTAATTCATCCCAAAGGTGTTCTATCGGGTTGAGGTCAGGACTCTGTGCAGGCCAGTCAAGTTCATCCACACCAGACTCTGTCATCCATGTCTTTATGGACCTTGCTTTGTGCACTGGTGCACAGTCATGTTGGAAGAGGAAGGGGCCAGCTCCAAACTGTTCCCACAAAGTTGGGAGCATGGAATTGTCCAAAATGTCTTGGTATGCTGAAGCATTCAGAGTTCCTTTCACTGGAACTAAGGGGCCAAGCCCAGCTCCTGAAAAACAACCCCACACCATAATCCCCCCTCCAACAAACTTTACACTTGGCACAATGCAGTCAGACAAGTACCGTTCTCCTGGCAACCGCCAAACCCAGACCCGTCCATCAGATTGCCAGATGGAGAAGCGCGATTCGTCACTCCAGAGAACGCGTCTCCACTGCTCTAGAGTCCAGTGGCGGCGTGCTTTACACCACCGCATCCGACGCTTTGCATTGCACTTGGTGATGTATGGCTTGGATGCAGCTGCTCGACCATGGAAACCCATTCCATGAAGCTCTCTGCGCACTGTTCTTGAGCTACATGAAGTTTGGAGGTCTGTAGTGATTGACTCTGCAGAAAGTTGGCGACCTCTTCGCACTATGCGCGTCAGCATCCGCTGACCCCGCTCCGTCAGTTTACGTGGCCTACCACTTCGTGGCTGAGTTGCTGTCGTTCCCAAACACTTCCATTTTCTTATAATACAGCTGACAGTTGACTGTGGAATATTTAGGAGCGAGGAAATTTCACGACTGGATTTGTTGCACAGGTGGCATCCTATCACAGTTCCACGCTGGAATTCACTGAGCTCCTGAGAGCGACCCATTCTTTCACAAATGTTTGTAAAAACAGTCTGCATGCCTAGGTGCTTGAATTTATACACCTGTGGCCATGGAAGTGATTGGAACACCTGATTCCAATAATTTGGATGGGTGAGCAAATACTTTTGGCAATATAGTGTATAAGTAATGTTTTTTCTTGTTAAAAATGTGAATTGAATTTAATGAACAGCATTTCTTAGCAAGAACATGACGTTGGCCAAAAGTTCTCAGAAAGCAAAAACATTATACTGTATCTGGCTCTAAATACAAAAGGAGAAAAACCATGTTATCTACCAGCTTTTACAGTTTATGAAGTCAGTGGCATCGGATGTAGGAGTTTGCCCTGCAGACAGAAGGTTGTTGGTTGAAGCCCTGGCTCTGACTTTCAGTGTTGTTGTGTTCACACTTCACCTGTATTGCCTACTGATGGTGGTGCCTTGCCTTTGTCAGTCAGTCCCAGGGCAGCTATGCCTACAATTTAGTTTGCCATCATCAACGTGTGAATGTGTGTGTGAACGGGTGAACGACTGAATGTAGTGTAAAGCGCTTTGGTCAATTCTCCTGATTAGAAACAGCGCTATATAAGCACAGGCCATTTATCATATTTATGGTTCCCTTAACCATGGGGACGGCTATCATCTACTGTATAAATATAACGTATTAATGTAGTGAGGTACATTTCCAGTCAAAAATTCTTTTACACACATTGACGACTCATCCAGGGGTCCAGAAAAAAAAAAAATCCCATAACAGCATATGAAAAGCACTGACTGATTCAAGCTTATAGTTTTTACTTTGAAACTTAGAAAAACGGTGGAAAATCTTTCATTGTGGCAGGATTGAAACAATTCCACAGAACCAGAAAAGTGAGTGAAATTAACACAGTAATAGAAAGACTTATTGCCAATTATTGCAAATCGTTGAAGGCAGCTGCCATAACCAGTTATTATTATTAGCCAGTTAGGGGCTAATTATTATCTCAGTTAGACCTGGTTTTGGATGAACCTTTAATCCCACCAATAAATAAAACTGCTTTTTGTTAGACAATAAATACATGTTTTAATTAAGTGTGACAAAAGTGTGACAAAAATGAAAAAATACATTTGTTTTCACATCCATTTATCTAGTTTGGCATTTTAAGAGTTAATTAGGGTTGCTTGAATTTCTGAGTTATTGATAGAATTTAGTTGCAGCATTGGTTGTGAAATATTAAACAGCATAAACTAGGACTTGAAAGCCTTTTCTTCTCACTATTTCAGTCATATCCTAGGGTATCACAAAAGCTGTCATGGTTCAGAGCGCACACCGACAGTAAAACCAAAGGAGGAGCACTCTGACAGAGCTTATTGTCTTCTACTCAGTGGGAAATTTTAGACAAATCCCTCTTAGATGCAGGTGGTTAGGCACAAGCAAAGAGTTAAGTCCTCTGGTTCAATTTGCTCCTCCTCTTTGATGTTCTGACATCATCAGTCCTGCCCCCTAAAAGATCCCCATCCTCATGCTCAGAGGCCGTCACTTCCAATCTGGATTGTTTGTGGAAACTTCATGAACAGCACCAGGGGCAGGTGTTTATCCGTGGAAGAAAGTCATGCTCTGAAGAAACTTTCAGTTCAGGGATCACAGTGGATGCCACAGGTGTAGCCGCCGGGCTCGAGAGAGTTATGGTGGTTCAAACTGCAATCATGAACCCCCAGTTCATGAGTTTTTGCTTCCCCGATTCTGTGATGGAGTACGACATGGAAAAGAGTCTGGATTGTAGTCTGCTCTGTGAGGCGGAGAATGATGAAGACTTCAAAGAGACCACGAGGGACTTGCTGAGCTTCATAGACTCAGCCTCCAGCAACATCAAGCTGGCTCTGGACAAGCCGGTGAAATCCAAAAGGAAAGTCAACCACCGGAAGTATCTGCAAAAGCAGATCAAACGCTGCACTGGTATCATATCACCAGGAAACACATCAGAAGCGCCGGTGAAAAGACAGAGTTCCCCAGTAAATCAGCAGGGCCCTTTACAGAGTAAAACTCTACAGAAGCGAGAAGGGGGGCAAGCCAACCTACAGAGTAAGAGCCTGGCTGCTCTCTTCAGCCCTGTGAAGGAAATAAGGGGGGAGAAAGCAAAGAAACCCCCCCTGAGGCACCGTAATCTGCCTCCGTCTTTTTTTACCGAGCCTGCCAACTGCTCCAGGGTTAGCTCCACATCCGGGATGATGCTGAAGGACTTGGAACGGGGGAACCCAGAGGCTGCAGAGTTCTTTGAGCTCCTGGGGCCAGACTACAGCAACATGGTGAATGAGCAGGATGTTTATCAGGCCATGCCACTGAGGGTGCAACAAGATCTGGGAGGCCTAGACCCTGCTTCATATGACCATTTAGTTAGTGGTCTACTCTACCCTGATCCCTGGACTAATTGCTCAGGACCCTGTAAAAAACCAGGGGAGGGTCTGCGAACAGGCCCACCACAGCTTCCAGGCTATGGTCAGGCTGAGGACCCTTCTGCGCCAATAGATGACAGTGGACTGTGTACCTTGGCCTTTCCAAGCTTCTTCCCAGACTGCTCCATACCTCAGGTTACCTATGATTTAAATGGTGGCTATAACAAAACAAACTATCCATGTCTATGAGAAACTGAAAAGAAAAAGAAGTACTGCAGACAGTTGGAACAGTAGAAAACCCTTTAATTTTTCTAACATTTCAACTGGAGAACAGGTCTCATGTTGCTTTTTTTGTAAAAACTTTCATACAAATTCGAACGCGTCATTTTTGTTCCTTCTCAGGCAATTTATAAAGACATCCTGAAGAGTTCTGACTTTAAGGATTTGTAAGTCTGGGATGTTAATCCTGTTGAAAACATCAGAACAGCTGGACTAAACAACAGATGCACTTTTTTCCACTTGATTAGTTTGTAACAATGGAAAATGGGGGGAAAAAAAACTAATCCTTGCTAAACTAGTGACAACTCTGTGCTCGTCTTTCAGAAATGTTTTCAGAATCTATTTTCAGCTGGTTAACTGAACACTTTTTGTCCTCTTTTTGGAAGACTTTTCTTGTATCTAGCTATTGCAATATGACGAAAATAAAGCTGGTCTTTATTGGTTTGTCTGTTCTGTGCTTATTGAGGAGATGTTATGCAACACTTGACATGTAAAAACAAGAGACTAAAGAAACGCTATAAAAAGATCAAATAAAATAACCTTTTGTTTCTCTATGCATATCTGGTCTTCAGTCTAATTATCTTAGACTTAGACAACTTTTATTGTCATTTTGTATACACAGAGTTTATACAAAATGAAATTTCATTTAGTCCAGTAAATGAACATTTCCATTCCAAAAAGTACAGCAGTGATCAAATGTAAACACTGTGGGAGAAAAAACATGGAGCATTCAGAGCATTAATGTAGATTGTGCAAACATGCAGTTTTTTTGGTTTGGTGTAATAAAGAGTCTGTGACACGATTTAGAGTTTTTTTTTTTTTTGGCAAATAAAAGTATATATAAAAGTTGTCTAAGTTTAAAAGTCTGAGTTATCTGATAAAATCATAATTACAAAACACGTTTCTGGCCCCCCCTAGTGGATGTAAATCTAAATTACCCACAGTATAAAGATTTATAGGGTAGAGTGGCAAAAAAATAATTTAGTAGATTCAAAAAAGACAGTGTTTGGGGTAGAGTTAAAGTCTTTATTTTTGTTTTTCCTGGAAACATGTTGGCTTACAGCTCTTGCAAGCCCTAAGAAAGTAAAATACATCAAAATAAATAATAAAAACAATATTTTTTTTACACAGACATCTCAGCTTACTTACATCTGTACTAATATATTGGGCATTATATTATGCTTTCAGGATAAAACTGAGCTCCTTTTGCATGACCTACAGAAAAAATGTCATGGCTTGGAGTTACTTCTCTGAGATGATAAAGAAGCCCAGTTTGCTTTAATAGCAACTTGTTGATAACTCTAATTTTCCTTGAGTGAATTTGTAGCACATTTTAATCCGAATCCGTGATGCATTAAGTGATGCATGCCATTTCTTGTTGTTTGCACTAGATGGCAGTAATGTTTCATGGAAGAACTTCCCTACCACTCCCATTTAGGCTATAAATGATGTATGGTGTTTTGCATATTATTTTAGTCTTACATGTTAAGAACTAAATTGCTCTCCAGATCTCTTCTCCCATAATAATAATGGATTTGGAGAAAAAGTAAGCAGTTGTTGAATTAGATATTTAATCATTGTCTTTAAAATACACCCATTTAAAAAGGATTCACACTCAGGACTGTCAACATGCTCAGTCTTGTGAGCAGAAAATATGAGCAAATACTCCCATTTGAAGACAATATTTTCTGAGAGACCTGTGGTTTGCCAGCCGCCAGCTGGCTTGATTAGCAAATTGGTCATTACCACAATACGTCACACACAGGGACGGACCATTATTTCCTTTTGCTGTACGCTGAAGTACACACAGAGGAGGCATATGGATTTTCTGTCCCTGAGTTGACACTGGCTAATACATTCAGATTAGGTCCTACTGATGGCACAAGAACAGCATACTGCTTTGATTTGATGTATAACACATTCAAGATGCTGTGTTTGTCAAAGTGATTAACAACATGTGAGATTGTGCACATACAGCAAAATACATTTTAAAAAAGCAGTACAGCAAAAATATTTTGCATAGATGCAAATGCTGGATGGAGCTAAAACAAAAAATAGCACCACTGTAGATTATATGTAGAATCAGGAATTATGTGCAAAGCTGTGAAACTGTGGCTCCTTTAATAGGTTTCTGTAGATAACACACATTTTGACCAGTTTAAGCCAAAACTTTGGGTGTGCAAGACTTGACGAATTACAGACGTTTTTGCCAATGGCAGAAAATATAAGTAGTGCTTTGATATAATAATGAACATGATAAACAAAACGAGCAATAAACTAATGTATGTATGACTTTAAAAGACAACACAGAACCATGCACAGGAGCAATCAAGATACCGTAGATTTGGATTATGACACTTTGGTATCCTGGGGAGACAGGAATATGTGTATATCAGATTATGAACAGATATTAGCACAGTTGTCAATGCAAAGTGTTCAGACTCAGAAAAAGTCAAAGTGTTTGTTTTCTTTATTTGTGCATGTTAAGTTTGTTTAAAGCAACATTTTCCTAACAGATGAAAACCAAAAATTGTATTTTTTCTATATTAAACAAACTTATCATCTCAGATGGGTTTTTTTTTTATTTGTGAACTTTCTTGTCTCTCTCTACTCCAGCTGCATGTTACCAACTCCTCAGTGTATGAATAAAAACATACAATTACAGATCTTTTTTTGCTCATTTTATACAGTCCTTCTTATACATTCCAGCTATGGGTAATAGCCCCCTCCATTCTTGTACCATTTTTCTGGTGTTTATTGATTTTACTCACAAACTTTGCTGGTATCCTGCTCTGCCTTAAGGCATATCGTGGGAACTCTAAAGGGTTGTGATTCTAATTGCCCATAGAACATACAGTCCAACCTTGGACTGTTGATAATTTACAAAGATTGCACAAAAATATTCCAGGATATCATCCATATAGTTTGAAGTATGAGGTAAATGAATCAGAGCCAAACTGATCAGTTTTTCTCTGGTTCTATGAAACATAGAATCACAACATGCAACCCTTAACTCTACTGTTGATTGTCACTGCTGGTCAGGTGGTTGGAAAGAAAAGTAACTAAATGCTTAAAAGTGAAAATTTCGCCTATTTAGAAAAGGTTTTTGTTCCAGAATAATGTGGACGGCCATGGTTTCATAAACTGAACTAATGCCACCCATGACTGCTTAAGATTATGCTGTTTGAAAGCTGCAGCTAATAAGGAAAAAGCAGCACATCTGCAAAACAGCTGTTTGCTAGCTGTTTTGCAACCTGACTGATTAACTACATTATGAAAGACCAAAAAAAAAAGGTTTTCCATGATAAAATGTCTTTATAACCTTCACACATTTTGTTGAAGTTTGCATGTTAAAATCACATAACAAAAATGTAATCATACATGTTGCATACTATAAAACAATAACTCTCATTATATTGCACATTCTGTTTCATTTTTTTCTACACCCCTTGATCGTTGACATTTATCTTTTTACTCAAGGTTATGATGTTGTTAGAGTCTTACACCTGCCTATACCTACCTACTTCCTAACCCTACATATATCTGTTTCAACCTGGGAAAACAAAGCCTCATGGCCAACAGTCATTCTTTTCAAAGCAGATCAAATTCTTCAAACAAGTCTTTTGTCGTCACGAAACACATCTAAAGAAACGCAATTCTGAAATGTTATTTCATGATGAAATATGTTTTGAGTCGTCTTCCACCTTCCCATGGTGTTCACCAGCAAAAGTTGTTAGGGGTTGTAAACAAGGCAGTCCAGATGGAAATGCAAGTCTAGAGCTCATTCTGCATTCTTTATGTCTTCTACCCACCACTGGTAATGGTCAGAATCAGTAGGATCCTCTCTGATGCCTATTTAAAAAGCACAGAGACGCCTGATCTTTTTTTTTTTTTTTGTTCTGTTCTACAATACGTGTTTTCATATTGAAGCTTTGAGAGTGTACTCACTCCTTAGGACATCGGCATTTGTATTTCAAAGTCTCATCACTTTCCATTTAAGTCTGCAGTTATTTAATTCAGTGAATAAGCCCTGATTTTTATTTTTTATTTTACTCCTCGGGGTGTTGTGAGCATGCTATGTGTATATTCGGGTAGGTGATAACAGCTACAAGCTGTGCAACTGACAAAGTCTTGGATCCCTAACAGACAGCGCAGCCTTAAAACGTTCATCTCTGGACTGTGATTACCATATTGATAGACACAGTTCTGTTATGCAATTCTGATTTAAAAAGTATCCAATTAAAAGGCGATCCTTACTTGGAAGAAAAAATTCAGCTGGTACTTTTGCTGCTTCTGCAAGCTGTTAAAATGCAACCAGTGCCGCCATAGAAATGGCAATGGGAAGACTTTGCTGTAGAATAGTATTTTTTTCATGATCATAGAATAGAATATACTCAGAAAGTGAATTAACCTCAATAATTTGAAGGTGAAACTTCCTACTGATGATTTTCAAGTGTATTTCTATTGACATAATTGAAAATGAGTTTCAGCTGATAAAAAAAATTTTTCCTTTTTTCTGACAGCTTAAAGATCATAATATCAATAATACAGTCATTTGGACCTTCTGTAAGGACAGTAAGACACAAAAAATCATTTGTTACTAATATGACTGTTGTTAGGGTGCTGTATCTAAGGCTGATGTTCAAAAGATAAGATGAAAATAAAATTGCTTAAAAAAGCTGCACATAGAAAAAGGATAATAACAGCCTCCGTTTAGAGAGATTTATGAAGCAGGAGTTTGTGTCTCCATTTTGTCAAAATTTAGCAACAGTTCATGCCTTTCTCTGTTGTGGAAAACAGCATAAAGGAGATGCCGAGTTTATTCTCCAGCTGGTCTTGGCACCTTGGGGAAAGGTATCAAAAGCTGGTTCAGATGCCTGATTGGTCTGCAACTTCAACTGACAAATCTATTGAGTATGTATAGATGGAAATGAGAGATACAGTACCAGAATCAGCAGTGCGGAGGAGTGGAGGGCTTCGATCCATCTAATCCTGGCTACCTTTGCACCTCAGCAGACCCACAGGTTGAATGCATCCATGCAACACAGCACTGATACATTTATTCACTAGATGCCCATCCATTGAGTACATGTCGTGTGAAATACATGAACATACTTTTCAGCGGGCAGAGTTCTTTGAAGAAATATTTATGAGAAGCAGATTTTCTTCCCCTATGGATTTCACCTTTAACTAAATAGAATAATAAATGACTTTTTTATATATAGATTCCGACTTATTGGAATGCACATTCATCTAAACAGTGCTTTTCACCATCCATTTCCCTAAAAACCCTCTTTATCTACTCCATGCCTCCTAAGCCACCAATCAAAAAGCTTTTTAATGCTAAATTAGGCTTAGACTTAGAAAAACTTTTGCCGTTTTGTACACACAGAGTGTATGCAAAGCTAAATTACTTTTCTTACAGCTTACAAAGGTGAAAGGAACACTACCATTATAAAGTGCAGCAGTTATCATCATGTAAACAGTATAGGAGAATAGAAAAACCAGTTTAAAAATGATTAAGGGCATAAATATGGAAAGGTTCAGAGCAGTG